CTGCTGCTGGTGGCACCACTGCCTTCAGAGCGGGGGCAGCTGGAGAGTGGTGGCTGCTGGCATAGTACGGTATTGCCACCCTTACTTCTGTGCTGCTGCCTGCAGAGCTGGGCCCTCAGTCAGCAGCCACCATTCTCCAGCCGCCCAGTTCTGCAGGCAGCAGCGCAGAAGTAAGGGTGGCAATACCGCCACCCACCTAAAATAATCTTGTGACCCCCCCTGCAACTCCCTTTTGGGTCAGGACCCCCAATTTGAGAAATGCTGGTCTCTCCTCCATGAAATCTGTATGGTATAGGATAGTAAAGCGCACAAAAGACCAGATTTCATGGGGGGAGACCACATTTCAGTGTCTGGGATGTGTTTTTCGTGGCCATGAATTTGGTAGGGCCCTAAACATGAGGGGTTCTCACCTCAGGACCCCTTGCTCAGCCCCCACCTGGGCCTCCTGTCCTCAGTTCAGGGCCACTAGATGCTCAAGATGATGATCTTTACTGAGCAGACTGTTCACCCCTATTGTCCCATATCATAAGACTAGTATTCAACCCCACAATAAGCAGCATCTTCATTCCTAGGATTCATGCTTCAGAGGACAAGCCAGAGGGCTAGATGGGCCCTTGGTCTGATCTGCTCTGGTAATTCCTACATTCCGGTGATGCTTTCCCTGTTCCATCCTCTCAGTCACTAGGAGGATTAGGTGGGAGGGGAATTATACATTCCCAGCTGGGCTTTGCACCCTTTCCCCAGTGTGATGAAGCATGAGGCTGACTAAGGAGACACATACCTGCTTAAGGTGCTGCCAATGTCCTAGAAAGGGAAAAGGAAACAAAAAGAAACTCAGCTCATCGGCCACAAACCTGAAATCCCTCCTGGGCAGAGGACTCACTTTGCCTTTAATTTTGGTTCCTATAGGAAATTGGGCATGTTTGAAAACTTCATGCATAGCTCTGTTCTCTTCCCAGCTCTGCCAGATCCCTGCTGGGTGATCCTGGGCAAGTCACTTCCTCTCCCTGTGCCTCGATTTCCCCAGATGTAAAATAGGGATATAGGGATAGTGATCCTGACCTTCCTTCGGAAAGTGCTGTGGCATCTACTGATGGAAAGCTCTAGATAAGAGCTAGGAGTTATTATTAAGTATTATTATTACTGTTTATGTCAGAGTTAATTGAATTTTTTTAGATTTTGATGCCATGGGAAATTTTTGCAGGATTTTCCCGTCTTATTGACCAACCATGCAGTAGGTGAGAAATAAATTTTTGACATTTTGAATTTAAATATTAAAAAAGAAAACAAAATCAAGGAAAAATGTATGATGCCACTCCTTCCCCCACCCCGCCGCCTTTTAATTCAACCATCTCTACCATTTATCTAAGCTGTCCGCCTCCATCTGACTATAGCAGGGCTGTCAAATATCTGGTCTGCTTGTTATAGTAATGGGGCCTGCATGACATATGCAGATATTGCAGAATCTCAGCCTTGATTAGGAAAAAAAAAGTATGTTTATAGCCTTTGTGGATGCTAAAAAACTTTCTGAAGGTGATAAAAGTGTGACCAGTGGAGTGAGGTCTACAGAGAGTCTGAAACAATAGCTCTGAGGGGAAAGAACTCCCGTCTTTAGTCTCACTGATTGTTGATGCTGAAGCCTAATGATTACAATTTGATGTCAGCATTGACTGTTTCATTGCTGATCATTTTAACAGATGAGATAGAGAAGGGGGCCAGAGACGCTCACAGAGAGAACTGGAAATTATGACAGTAGGAAGTGTATCTTGTGTGTCAGTGTGGGAGACTGTTGGATAGAATCAGACTAGCTGTGTGTGGGAGGAGGAGGCACAATATGGTGCAATATATAAATATACCCAGTGAAAGTTTTATACTGCATTTAGTACCCTGGAGTCTGAGCACCTCAGACACATGCTTGTTCTGTATATAATATATTCAGGGCCAAATTCAAACACAGTGTAAACAGATGTGCTGCACTGAAATCAAAGACCTACATGCTTTAGGCAATTTGAGAGGTCTGCACACTTCTTCTGTACACGTTCGTTCCCTCAACAGTTCCCTGCAGCTGCACCTGATCTTTAGTAGTTACACTATAAGTTCTTCAGGGCTGGGACTGTCTCTCGCTGTGTGTCTGTGCAGTGCCTGGCACACTGGGACCCTAACATTGACTGAGACCCAGATTTTAAAGGTATTTAGGCACTGTTGGGCTCAGCGCTGCAACACCCAATTGATTTAGGAGCCTAAATCTCTCTTTCAAAAGTGATTTAAGCACTTATGAGCCTAAATCCCATTGACAGTTGGAAATCTTTTTGACTTGTCTTACCTTGAGGAGTTCATTCACCGGCTGCTGGCACGTCTGATTTATCTCAGCAATGTGGTTATCGAGCAGTAATAGCCCCTTAGTATTTTTATTCCTTGTCTTCCTAAGGTCCTGTATGGTGCCTTCCACGTGGTTACGCATGAGTTGCTCTCCCTGCTTCAAAACATGACGCACTTGCTTGAATTCAGATGCAATCTCCTGCTTCTGGCGTTCTAGCTGTTTCTGTCATGAACAGATATAAACAGGGCAGTGACAGAGTGTAACAGGATTCCCAGGTCCCCCTCCCCAGTAGCAACTGCATTTCAGCTGTGAGCAACTGAGCCCCGTTAACACAGGGCCAAACTTGGGGAGGGGGAGACACAGATCCTCAGAGGGGGTACATCTGCATAGCCCTATGGCCCTTACACATCACACAGGAACCAGTCTCACTTGGAGGTGTCTAAACACAATTTTCAGCATAAGGTGCCTACCTGTGCGATTCTTCTAGGGAGCCTAGATCCAAAAGAAAGGGAATTCGAAAAGCACTGAACAATTAGGCCCCCATCTTCCTCTGAAGGTACTTGTCAAAGATTTTACCGATACTCTGGCCCCAAATCACCAGTCCCAAGATTTTCAAAAGTAAGAACTTAAAGTTAGGCTACTAAGTCTACATTTAGTAGAGTTGCTGGGAACTGTAATTTACATTCCACGGGAAATTCTGACATTTCCAAAAAAATCCTATTCTGAATGGGAATGAAAAGCTGAAATTTCAAAATTTCCCATGAAATAAACATTCTGAAAAAAACCTGTGTTTTGACAGTGTCGGTTGAAGCGTTTTGTTTTGACTTTAATATTATTTAAATGTTATGTACCTATATTATACATACATAACATTAACCATAATATTGTACTGGGTGTACAAACCCCGCACTGGCCAGAAAGGGGTTAAGGAACTCCTATGGGCTCCAGCAGCCCATCTTGTCACACCTGCAAGGTGGGTCAGGTCTAGAAGAAGGGGAAATCCAGTTCATCACTTAGCAGCAGCAGCTGCCCTGGGAAGGAAACTTGCCTCCAAACCCGAGCTGCCGGAGAGAAGGGCTGGGCTGACAACTGCGATTGTTCATGTGACTGCTGCCTCTCTAAGAGATTGTCTACACTGCAAAGTTGTGTCGGCAAAAGTTACACCACTTTAATTAAAACCACTGTTGCATGTGCAAACTGTTGTCAGTAGCTACCGGCGTGGTGCTCTGCTCTTGTTCGATGTTGATATCAGTTGGCTGCGTGCATGTTCCCTCTGTGTGCTGCCCCAGCTCTGCGCACATCTCTGACACAGCAAACCCCAAGAGAACCCCCAAAGACCACAGACTCTAGTAAGGTATGAAGGAACCCGGCCAGGTTTATTGTCAAACGAAGCACAGTAATAGTTTCCCATAGACTCTACAAGATGTACTACGAATTTGGGACCCCAACAATGGACCGGCTCAGTCAGTGGTGGGACTTTCCACTGCCCCCAGGCCAGACAAAGATGCGCTCTCTGGGACCTACTTTTATACAGTTACAGGACAGATTACTCATCCCTACTGACGTATTGAGGTTCAGCCCCTTGGCTCATTAGGGTGCTGTCTCCCCCTTTGATCATGTTGTTTCAAACAAACAGATCTATCCATCATGCTGTACTTTTGACCCTATCTTTAAGATACACCTGCCTGTTCCTTGTTATGTCTGTGGAGTGTCCTCGTATTGGGATGTCCAGGTGCCATCTTGGCACAAGTTCCTCTTATTAGCACTTATCTGTTAAGCACCTGCTTCTAACAACTCTCTTCTCACCAACTTCTCTGAGCGGGGCCTGCCTCTGGCTCACAGCCCAGCTTTTGCTTAGCAATTCCTGGAAGTACTTTGGTTCCGGCTTCAGGCCTCAGACTGGGCCTCTGACACAAGAGTTTGTTTCTGGGCCTCATCTTACTACACACACTAGCTCCTTGTGCAGGCAGAGCGCATCCACACTAGCAGCTCTTCCATCGACACAGAAAGCAGTGCATTGTGGATAGCTATCTCATCATGCAACTGGCCACCGGGTGCTTTGGGAAGGATTTGCAATGCCTCATAGGGCAGGCACAGCGTCACATGATGCAGGTTTCTCAATCTCATCCTTCCAGGGGCATCCAAGTAGATTGTCAGCCACTTTTCAACTGAAGTGTCCGGGGGAGGAAGAGGAGAGTGGTGTGTCTGGGGCAGGAGAGACAGCAGGCTGACCGACCTATCCTGAGGCAGGGGGAGAGGGACATCCCCCACCCCACCCCCACCACAACAGCCCCTGGCACTGCTCGGCAGAGCGGTCTCTCCTGAAGCAGCCCACTCTACTTCTCTATGGTTCTGTGAACACTAAGTTCTTCAGGGCAGGGACTCTGTCTCCCTGTGTGTCTGTGCAGTGCCCGGCCTAATGGGATCTTGATCTCAGCTGGGGCAGGGTTCCCCAAAACAGCCCCCTCAGCTGCCGGGAGCAGCATCATGAGTAGCTCTGTGAGCTCTCTGTGCTGAGGAATGTCAAAGCAGCACTGCCGTCTGTCCCCTGCTGCACGACAGGCTGCTGCTGTGTTCCTAGTGCTGGGCAGAACTGGGGCATTCTAATGATTTGCTCTTTGTTCCCCAAAGAGAACAGCACACTCAGGCCTTGTCTCCACTGCCACTTTACAGCGCTGAAACTTTCTTGCTCAGGGGTGTGAAAAAACACCTCCCCGCGTGATGCAAGTTTCAACGCTGTAAAGTGGCAGTGTAGACAGTGCACCAACACTGGTAGCTATTCCCTTCACGGGGGTGGGTTTTTTACAGCGCTGGAGAGCTCTCTCCCAGCGCAGGTGCACTACACAACCATGTTAAAGTGCTGCCATGAAGACACACCCTCAGCTATCAGATACTTCCTGGAGCTTTGAAAGGGGAGGGGCGCGTGCCTGCAGGGCAGCAGAGATCAAAACACTGAGCACAGCGATCAGGGCAGGCATTGTGGGATACTGGTGGTAGCCAGTTCTGTTGACAAAACAAACAGCAGTGTCTACTGACACTTTGTCAACAATAAAGGAAGGGGAAAAGAAAAAAGTCTCTACTAGGGGTGGCAGTTTTGCCGGGTGTTTTTCCGGACAAAAATCCCATTGCGGTGTGTACGCTCTCACTGTTTGGTCACCAAAAGGCAGTTTTTTGGCCACAAAACTTGGTAGTGTAGACAAAGAACACAAACCCAGCTGCACCCAAGTGGGGGGAATTCCCTGTGTGATGGCAAACTGCAAAGTGTGAATGGGATTGTTTAAAATATTGTGATGAGAAAATCTCTCTGCTAATTTCCGTGTCCTCTTCTGGCTCCAAACGGTCTGTAGGTGTTAAATCCTGGATTTACACTCGTTATTATTTAGGCTTCCAAATAAGGAAGCTCTCTATGGTGCTTATCTGGGCCCCATCACCTGAGCACCTCACACAACCGCTGGGAGGTGGGACAGTGCTAGTATTTCCACTGTACAGAGAAGCTTTAAGAGGTACGATTTTTCAAAAGTGCTGAGCACCCAGCAGCTCCCATTGACTTTAATGGGAGTTGTTTTGGTGCCCAGCGTTTTGAAACTCAGAGAAGAAGGAGGGGCAGCCCAACCCCACGCACCTGTGAGGTCTGTCGAACCGGCGGGGGGCGGATGGGGGCTGCTCCTTCAAAGGGGGCTCGTAGGCCACACTGGCATCCAGCAGGAAGCAGAACTACAGCCCCTCAGCCCCACAGAGCCCAGAGAGCTACTGAAAAGCATCTGCCACCTGGACCCTCCGGGGAGGTAGAGGGACCATCTTTACTTTGTTCTTTTCATTAAAACCCCAAAGACACATACGGCGGGTTAGGAGCCAGCCCCACTTCAGAGAGTACTTACCTTTCGCCCTGTGAGGCACAGCGGGGGGAGCCTGGACTGGTTTGTGGGCTGCAGGATTATTTTGTTTGCCTTTTTTATTTTGGACAAAAGCAGAAGGGAGCTGTGGAAGCCGCCTTCCTAAGAAATACAGCCAGAGTGTGCGCCCCACACTGACTCCACAGCCACGGAAGGACATCTGGGAGGAGAGAGAAAGGCCGCCTCACCGCAAGGGGGCGCCCTAGAAGTACCTCCTGTTATTATTATTATTATTATTATTATTAGGGACTATTATTAACACTGGTGACTATTAATGATCAGTATGAAGAGTGGACACTTACCAGTAGAATTTGATATTCCCTTTCTTCAGCAGCTACCCGTCTCCCTCGCTCGTCTCTCACACACTGAACACGATCCCGATGACTCAGAAGCTGCTCCTGCAGCAATACCAAAGAAACTACTTCAGCTTTAAAAGTGACCTTAAAAATACCTGTCAGCCTTAAACGGGACCTGTCAAGGATTTGTGTTTTAATTTGGCTTGTGCCCCGCACAGCTTCATTATGACAGAGAAAAGTGAGAAAACCTGGAAGTGGAGGGAGGTTTTTGTTTTGTTTCATACTGTTGAGGTTGGGGTGTGCATTAGAAAGATATGGGGGGGGCTTCCTGTGATGGGGTGTTCATCTCACATTTGCCTTGAAGGGATTGGGTTAATGTAGGCTCAGAAAGGGGCCAATTAATCAGACAGGCTCAGCTGAGGGCAGTCAGGTGGTTTCAGTAATCCCCTGACTGAATAATGGGGGATCCCCACTGAGGAGGAAGGAGCTGGGCTGGGTTTATAAAGACAGGAAGATGACAGAGAGAGGCGCAGCTGCAGAGGAGTCTGCAGTCACTTCCTGGCACAAGGGAGGGCTGCAGGGGCATCATTTTGGAGGAGTGAGCATGGGGGACCAGTGCCGGGAGGGAGGGGGCAGAAGCAAAGGCATGTGCAGTTTGAAAGAGATGGGGAAAGAGTTAGCAGTAAAACAGGTCCAAAAAAATTCATCCATTTTTGGGGGGAGGGGAGGCTTTTCAGAGAAAATTGGGGTTTTTTTTGCGGGAATTTTTTTTTAATTTTCTCTCTTTTTATGAAAAATCAAACAAATTATTTTGGTTGTTTGAAAATCAGAAACAAAAACATGTTTAAGTTTAAACTTTTTTGAAAACTGATACTTTTTCAGTGAGAACATAACACTTTTGTGGGATTTTTGTTTGTTGCTTTTTAAAGAATTTTCCCCCAAAATCTCCCAGGAAGGAGATTTTTTTTTTCAACCAACTGTGGTTGGAAGAACAAGGACTAAGGTAGGGGTTGGGGGAGAGGAGAGAAGAAGAAAAAGGATGGGGAAAAAATAGAGCAGAAAAACTCAGAGGTGGAAATAAGGCAATAAAAATACATAATTAAAGCATACAGAGAGCAGGCCTGTAGAAAGAATTAAAAGGGACCTAGGGGGTAAAGACTGTCTATCTCTAGGCCTTCCACAAGTCCCCAACCCTGGAAATCTTTATCAAAGAAAACACGGCGCCTGGTCCTCTCCCACCTCTCCACTTTCAACAGAAGCAGCTGGGACGGGAGTTTTGGAATTTCTGGTCACCCTAATCCCAGGGAAGGGAGAAGCCCATGGGAAGAGGCAGATAAAATAACCCTGATTGGGGCCCCCCGCCCTGCTTTGCACAGTCACATACACCCGTGAAACATGGATATCAATTGCTACCATTCTGATCGAACAGTGTTTTACACCCATTTTGTTCTGGTGTAAATGACTGAGCAAAGTGCAAAAGCAGGGGGGTTGTGCCCAAATGAATCTATCCCAGTCTCTGATTTCTACGCAAATGCCCTACCTTAAACGCCTCTGCAGCTGCCTCGATGGGAATGACTGTGTGAGCTTTGTGTTCTCGAGACAGTCTGCAAACATTGCAGAGGAGGGTCCGGTCCTGCTTGCAGAAGAGACTGAAAACTTCTTCGTGTTTCTCGCATTCTACTTGTAGGCGTCTTGCTACGTCCACCACCACCTTCAGTTGCTTGTTAGGCCTCAGCTCGCTCTCAGGGAAAGATTTCCTCCTGCACTGGGGACAAACTCCTGTGCCCGACGCCTCCCAGCAGTCGGTTATACAGGCTTGGCAGAAATTGTGCTCACAGTCTAGAATCACTGGGTCTTTAAAGGGCTCCAGGCAGATGGGACAAACCAGCTCATCCCGGAGCTCGTTCACAGGGTACGTAGCTGACATGGCTGCTGTGAAAAAGAAAAAAAAATACTTTCACTTTCCTCTAATGTTTGTCGAGAATTGGAGTTGGCTTCCGCCCTTCCTGTAGAGTGTAGTGCAGTTGGTTAGTTCCTGCTCTGTTGCAACGGGGGCAATACTGGATTTGCCATGGCACCGGGCCTGCGGTCCGAAGGGGTCCCGGCCAGCCCAGCCCGCTCTTCTCCACCTGCCCACTGTGTGGGGGCAGAAGCTTAGTGCTGCAGCAGGGCAGGCTCTGCCGGTGTAGTGAAGGATACTGCTCTGCTAGAAATGTGCTACTTACCATGCTCATCGGTACATCTGCTGAAGCCGTTGCCCTTCACCCTGCCCTTATTAGCGGTAGGATTCTGCAGACTGCTATTGACAGGGGTTAAAAAGGGGCAAAGGGGGAAAATCGAAGGGGGGGGCAGGGTCTGAGCAGGGGGTGGAAATTGACTGGTCTGGGGGTGTCAAGCAGCTGGAGGCAGGATTAGGAGAGGGGCTAAAGGGAAAATCAGGGCGGGGGGGAGGAGCAGGAGTTAAGCTTGTGGTGAGGCGCTGGCAGAGGGTGACAGAGGGCAAAACCCGGCAAAGGGGGTAGCAGTTACCCCAGTGGCACTGAGACACCAGTGTTTGCAAAAATGGGGGGCGGGCAAAGGGGCTTTTTTATTTCCCTTCTCACACACAGCACCGCTCAGCATTGGCTTCCCAGGGCTGGGTTCTTAAAGGCACAGGCATCCCAAAGCCTAGACAATGCAGCTCCTCATTGTCTGATCTAACCAACTGAGGCTATGTCTACACTACAAAATTGAAAGCGCTGCGGCGGGTGCCAGTGGTCCTGGTAATCCACCTCAACGAGGGGATTCGCCCCAAGCACTGGGAGCCGACCCTGTCCACACTAGCGCTTTAAAGCGCTCAAACTTGCTGCACTGGGGGGGGGGGTGATTTTTCACACCTCTGAGCCAGCAAGTTAGAGCACTTTAACTTGCCAGTGTAGATAATCCGAGACTTAATTCAGTTAAACATTTCATATGTATCCCCTTAGAAACAAAGAATCCCTTATCACTGTATCTGATTGCATAAAGTCTCCGAGCAGTTTCCCAAGTTGTCTTATCTGCTGCTGGGATTCCCTGAATTCCCTGAATTTTTAATTCTAATTTTTTCTTCTCATTTGTAGAGCAGATGTTTATTCTGTTGGATCATCTGACTTCCGCTCTGACTGAATTTCTGGCCTATTGTCAAAACTTTGTTTTGAGTCAATCCACCAATGGTGTAAATATTGGTGGTCAGACCAATAGTCCTAATCTAGCATCCTGTCTTGTGACAGTGGCCAATGCCAGGTGCTTCTAAGGGAATGATCAGACCAGGCAATGACTCATTGAACCATCCCATTGTCCACTCCCTGCATCTTGCAGTCAAAGAACATTTTAGGGACATGCAGAGAATGGGCCTGCATCCCTGATTATCTTGGCTAATAGCCAATCTGAGGGACTGATCTAATTCTTTGTTCAACCCATTCATAGTTTTGCCTTTCAAAATATAATGAACACACATCTACAACCCCAAGATACCTTTACAACCACAAGAATTCCAAAATCATGAGTTATACACCCTCGAGTCAAGAAATTGTAATAAATACATGATTTTCATGTGCCTCTTTGTTCCTGAGCCGGTAGGGTGCAGTAAGGCCAGTTCCAATGCCTTGAGCCTAAACACCTGAATGAATCGTAGTCTACCCTCATACTCCCAAACATTGAATATACCTAAGGCCATATCTACAGTTTAAGTGTGGGTTAACTCAAGTTATGTCACCATAGAGTCACTACGGTTACTATGTCACTTGTGTAGATGCCTCCTGGACGCCTTGTCTCAGCAGTCAGGGTACTCACCAGAAGCACTTGTATAGATTCAGAGTGAGGTGCACCATGAATAGATATCCCACTGTCCACCCACTGTATTTTGGGAAGCTTTGGTTGGCAGTGTATGCTGGGTACCAAACAGGTCAGACGGGGGTGGATGTGGCCATGGAATCAAACTTCTTATAATGCATTGTTAACCATCCACTGAACCAAGTTAATGAGGTTACAGCGGGGTTTTGCAAAATGGAGTAAGCATTTTAAAATGGGGTTTTAGTTACAATATAGAATCTTATTAAAACGTGTAATGAATAATTTAAAACGTTGGGAGGGAAACAGGAGTTACAATGTTAGATCAGTGAAGTTTGGTTTGTTCATTTGATACAAAATAATGTCATATTAATAATAGTAATTAAAGAAAAGAAACAATTTCATTCTTCAGCTCTACACTGACCCGCAAATGACCCTTCAATCCAGAGGTATTAAATGGGTCACACTTTATGTAATTGTCTCAAGACTATATATATATTTTTGAAACAATCTGAGCTGGTCGTTTCAGCATCCAACAGAACATACCACACATTACAATTAACATTAAACTTATCAGAATAAAGAAAAGAATAATTGGGGGCCCATCCTTTAAGAATATCATACCAATGGTGCGTTATAATTTGTTCTGCTTGTGCAGATACTCTTTATATTTCAGATCCCTGATGTAAAATAGCCAAACTGCGTGTCTGAACCTGGGCCTGTGTGATTTCAGTCAGTTGGATAATTTGGTTATTTTTCTTCATTAGTTTGTATAGACTTGTCCAATTGACCCACAAAGAAAAGTTAACGTTTAGAATATTACAGATATCCAGTGTGTTAATTCTTTTATCCTCATGAGTTGGGAAGTAATAGGTTAAGGTGGGAGTTTTTAACATAGTTATATTAGACATACATTGCTCTACTGGTGGTTCTTGCCACAAAAGCTCCTCTAATCCAATGGCGTTGTAGCGAGCACAGCGCCTCCTGCTGGTCGTCTTGTGAATTAGCTCTCCAGTGTACAGAGAGCCTCCTACTGGCCAGTGTCCCGCTTGCCGCTGGCACTCGTGTCCCTGCCGGACCCCGGTGCCCTTTACCTTGGGGTGCTGCCCCCGCAATAACCCCTTATTCTGGGTTTCCCCTCCCGGGGAACCCCCAACTCTCTAAACCCAACTTGCCTCAGTGGCTACTGCCAGTCATCATCTAGCCCCCGCTCCCTGGGGCAGACTGCAGTGTAATGGCCACTCATCATTGGCAAGGGGTTAGGGCCATTGTAGCTGATTCCTACAGAGAGCAGTCTCACATACCGGTGGTTTGAGAAACTGCTGCCTGTAGGAATTAGCTTCTTCACATTGCAGTGTTACAGGTAGCACATCCCTATAGTTTGCAGTTTCATACACGTGTGTGTGTGAAACTGCTATCTGTAGGACCGTGCTACCCGCAGCAGTGACAGGTCCAACTTTGCTAAAAACGGTATTTCAAGCAGTCTTGCATGTAAAACCAACCGGATAGCTTTCTTTAACAGTGTAACAAGCCTACAAGCAGTAGATGTGGTATATCTTGCCTTTAATAAGGCTTTTGATACTGTCTCCCATGACCTTCTCATAAACAAACTATGGAAATGAAACCTAGATGGACATAACGATAAATAAGATGGTCATAACAAGTGGGGTTCTCCAGGGATCAGTTCTGGATACGTTTATATTCAAAATCTTAATGATTGAGATAATGGCATAGAAATATGATAACAGTTTTCAAGCATGTACAAATAAAGTAGCATCTTTTTACAGAAGCTGTTTCTTACAATCTATACGTATCACTAACTGCTACAGTAGTACATTTCTACACATAGCAATTTCACATATACTATAGTGCAAGAAACTGCTACCTGTAGGCATTTGCTACATCAGGTAGCAGTTTAATAAATTAACAGCTTCTAATAATCTATAAGTATCGGAAAGTGCTACTGGTAGCACATTCCTATGAGGAGCAGTATCCTGCTCCTCCCCCGCCTCTTTCCCCAGCGTGCTACGTTCCCTCCCTGCCGCCGATCAGCTGCTTGACGGCAGGAGGAGAAGCAGAGCCTCAGCACACTGGCTCACTGCTTGGGGAGGAGGAGGAGAAGATGCAGGGCCGCGGCCTTGGGGGAGGGGCTGGAATCGGTGCATAACCCCTTCAACCCCCTGCCATGAGCACCCCCACGACCCCAGCCCACACCCACAGCCCTCTGCCCACCCTGACCCCTGCACCCCCTCACACCTCCCCAACCCCCTGCCCTGATTCCTGCACCCCACACACACCCAGCCCCCTGCACCCCCTCACACCTCCCAGCCCCCTGTCCTGACTCCTGCACCCCCCACACATACCCAGCCCCCCCACACCCTGTGCCTTGACTCCTGAACCCCCACACATCCCCATCCCCATCCTGAGCACCAAACGTGAACTCCTGCACCCCTCACACCAAACAGGAGCTGCCCCAAGTAAGCACTCCACACCCCAACCCTGAGCCATCTCCCTCACCCTAGCTCCTGGTCAGACCCGCACCCCAACGTTCTTTTACAGTATTTGGAAAGATCATTAAGTGGTCCATCGAGACCCTCTGCAATTTTCAAGTGGTCTGTGGAAAAATAAGTTAGACTACAAGAACAATCAAGGTACCTCACTTTATTTTCATTTACTTACTATTACTTATAGGAGGGGGATGAAGGAAAAAAATGAAAAAATGGGGGCGGTGGGGAGATAAGAGAGAATGTTCTTTTTCTTGGCTGGGTCCCAAGGAGGGGCCCCAAAAATGAAGCTGAGCTCAGGGCCGGGGGGGACCCACTATCTCTAAATCCACCACTGGCTGTCACGTCACCTGGGCTGGGGATACTGTGTTAGCTGATCCCCATAGTCTCCAACCTACCTGGGCAGTACAGCAGACATGGCCCTGCCCTCTAGCTCCTCTCCACTCCCTAGCCCACCCACCACTTGCTTCCCCCCTCCCCTCCCACTTAAGGCTTAAGGCTTAGCCCTCTCACTTTTAAAAATGATTGCTTGCCCTTCCTCCCCCTTCAGGCTTTTCTAGCAGCCCTGTTGCCAGGTATCCAGTTTTAGACAGGAAACTCCAGTAGAAAATGGGACCTGGGTGTCCGGTTAGCAGTGCTGACTGGAAGCTAAA